GTGCTGTCCTCCATTTTGAGCACAGCCCAGCAGATTTTCTTCCTTTAATAAAGCTTGATCAGTACCCAGCTTTTCTGCTCACTTTCTTTCATTACGGTGCCGAAACCTGGGAAGGGTCCTGGCCAGGACCCTCAGATGATCCCCTCTCTTGGGTTGATTGGCCCTCCTGGCCACCCTTCCTGGACCTGCCAAACTGGATGCCTCCAGGACTCTCTCCTTTTGCCATTTCAGACCAACGCATCCAACATCGGCCTCAATTCAGGGTGAGTCAGTGGGTCTGTCCTACTTCTACGGGTTCCCCTGACTAGTCTCTATGGCTACTGTCTACTTGCTATGAAGCCCAGGCACCTGGGCAACGGAACCCCTCTCATGCCCCCAGGTATTGGAGGATGCTCCTCTAGCTGGTCAGTGGCTCCTCTCACTACTGCAATTGCAAAAGAAGGTGTACAACAACAAGAACACACCTTGTTGGCACTCTTCTTTAACTAGGACTGCCCATTTCCTTTCTCACCCTTCAATGGGATCCTCACAATCCAAACCTCCACGCTCTACGCCTCCAGGCCGTCTCCTGGCCAACCTCTTGGTCTTCAGGGAGACATTAAAACCCGAATGCCTCATTTTCTACTACAATCAGGTTTGGCCTAAATCCAAACTAGACAATGGATCCCAGCAGCCAGAAGATGGCACTCTCGATTTGGATACTCTCAGAGACCTAGACAACTTTTGTCATCAAAGCAGCAAGCTGGAGAGATTCCTTATGTTCAAGCCTTCTTCTATCTCTGATCACATCCATCTTTCTGTCAAAACTGTCCTACATCTCAAATTCTCCTACCTCATGCCTGACCTCCCCTTCCAGACTTGGATCAATCTTTTGATCCATCAGACCACTCTGCTCCCTGACCACCTCCTTACACTCCAGATCCTTCACCAGCCCCTCCACCTTTTCTCTCTCTTCCCCACACCTGGTCTCAAGACACTTGCCCTCAGCCACCCAACCCCTCCTCACCCCCCCCATCAGGTGCTAACCCCGCCTCAGCTCCGGCTCCTTTATACCCACTCTGTGAAGTGGCTGGGACAGAGGGAATTGTCTGGGTCCATATCCCCTTTCCTCTTTCCGATCTCTCCCAAATTGAAAATGACTGGGATCTTTCCAGTCCGACCCAGACACATATCTTAAGGAAGTCACATATCTCACCCAGTCTTATGATCTCACCTGACAGGATATTTTTATGATTCTCACTACTACTTTGTTCCCCAAGGACAGAGAGCAGGTCTGGATAACGGCCCAACAACAGGCAGACAAGGTACATGCCCAAAATAATAGGCAGCCTGTGGAAGCCATTGCCGTACCTCACATAGACCCAAATTGGGACTACCAGGCCAGCCACGGGGATCAGGATCTGCAGGATAACATAATCACATACTTGATTTATGGCCTCCAAAAGGCTACTCACAAGTCAGTCAATTATGACAAGCTTAGAGAAATCACAAAGAGATCCACTGAAAATCCCAGCAAATTCCCAACCCACCTCTCTGAGGCTTTACATAAATACACATGTATAGACCCAAACTCCCCTGCAGGCATGGCTCTCTTACACTCTCATTTCATTACCCAATCAGCCCCTGACATTCAGAAAAAACTAAAAAAACTTGAGGATGGTCCAAATATGACCCAAGGAGACCTCCTCAATGCTGCTCTCAAGGTTTCTAACAATAGACAGGAGGAGGGGAAGAAAGATTATTACAAAAGAGATCAGGCCAAATACCAGCTCCTGGCTAATGCTATCCATGGTTCACATACTCCAAAGTCAGCTGCCTCTAGGGTCAAGCCACCTGGAAACTGCTTCAAATGCAGTCAAGCAGGCCACTGGGTATGGGCCTGTCCTGACCCCAGGCCCTCTCTGGGCCCTGTCCTCACTGCAAACAGCCAGGTCAGTGGGAGATTGACTGTTTCACTCATCAGAGAGGGAGTCGCCTAGTCCTCAACCCACAACCTTTGGCTTCATGGCCATCCTTACCAGAACTTCTTGGATTCACCCAGGAGGAGGACTGACAATGCCCAGGGCCTGAGGCCCCCACAGAGATCACCACACGTGAGCCCAGGGTAACTCTCTTCGCAGCGGGTAAGCTGATCTCTTTTGTCTTCAATACAGGGGCCACTTACTCTACCCTTCCTGATTATACAGGACCAACAACCCCATCCTCTATCACAATAGTAGGGGTTATGGGATCAGAATACCACCGACAGATCACTCAACTGCTTTCCTACACCCTACATCACACCCTATTCACACACAAAATTTTTAATAATGCCTCAATGCCCAGCTCCCTTACTGGGATGGGACATTCTTTTCAAATTCAAAGCTACTCTTTCCCTAAATACTTTTAACTCCAGCTACAGTACTCCTGTTACAGGCTGCCCCAGACCTGGCCCCTGAGGCTTCCACCTTCCCCTTTCCCTCGGACAAGGTTAATCCCTAGTATGGGACACTTCTTCTCCCTCCATTGCTACACACCATTCCCCTATCCTTGGTAAGTTGTAGAACCCCTCTTTGTTCCCTAATGTCCCACAATACCCCATTGCTAACAAACACCTAATAGGCTTAAAACCCATCATACACAAACTCCTTTCTTCTCATCTCTTATGGCCTCTTTTAATACACCCATCTTTATAAGGCCTAATGGGTCATACCATTTAGTTCAAGACCTCAGGGCTATTAATGCAGCCATTTTACCCATAACCCCAAACATTTCTAACCAATATACTCTTCCACCCACAATCCCAACAGCAACCCATTTCTTCTCTGTACTTGACCTCAAAGATGCCTTTTTCCTATCCCTTTACACCCATCCTGTCAAAACGTGTTCACCTTCACTTGGACTGATCCTGATACGTGTCATTCCCAACAACTCACCTGGACAGTACTACCTCAGGGGTTTTGGGATAGCCCCCACTTCTTCCACCAGACCTTAGCTCAAGACTTATCTGAACTTCCTCCAACATCTAGCACTTTAATACAATATGTGGATGATCTCTTCCTTTGTAACCCCCCCCATGAGGATTCACAGGCCCACACTGTTGCTCTCCTTAATTTCCTGGCCTCCAGGGGATATCGAGTGTCCCCCAGCAAGGCCCAAATTTCTTCTCCTTCAGTTACCTATTTGGGAGTCCATCTCACCCCAACACCAGAGAAATAATGGTGGATCACAAGAGTCTAACTTCTGAACTCCCTACTCCTACCACAGAGGGTAAAATCCTTTCTTTCTTGGGGCTTGCAGGGGATCTGCGCCTATGGATTCCTAACTTTGGCGTGCTAGTAAAACCATTTTACAGCCAGCCATAAAGGGGATCCTGCCATTCCTTTAGATCCCACAAAGCCCATTCGTTCTCCCTTCCAGTGATTAAAAACTGCTCTTCTCACAGCCCCAGCTCTTTCTCTCCAAATTTATCTCATCCTTTGTTTTATGCATCACCAAGACCCAAGGACTGGCAGTCGGGCCCTGGGACAAGAGGCAGGAGATGTTTTCTCCCCAGTTGCATACCTCTCTAAACAACTAGACACCACAGCCTGAGGATGGGCCCCTTGTTTACAGACCTTGGCAGCAGCCACCCTTTTAGCACAAGAAAACTCTAAACTAACTTTTGGACAACAGTCATCTGTTCCCCCATCATCTTCAAGACCTTCTCAGCCATAAGGCCAAGTCAATTCTCTCCCCTTCCCACCTACAACTTATTCACCTTACTTTCATTGAGAATTCCCAGTTTTCCTTCAAACCTTGCCCTCCCCTAAATCCAGCCACTCTCACCCCAAAACACTCATGACCCTTAGAACATCATTGCATGGAGGCTTTAGACCTCTTTCTCAATCTCTTTCCACACATTTCTCCACACCTTATCATGCAGCCTAAGCTACACCAGCCTCAGTCATCAGGCAAAGTAGAAAAAGCCAATCACCTCATAAAAACACACCTTACCAAGCTGTCCATGGAGTTTCACCTCCCTTGGACCCAACTTCCCCCTCTAGCACTCGCTTGCGAGCTGCCCCCCACAAGCCCACAGGCCTCAGCCCCTCTGAGCTTATGTATGGTAGACCCTTCACTGTCACACCTCTCCCTTCCAGCTCATCACCTTAGGCCAGTATCTTCCCTACTCTTTCACTCATTAGGGATCTTCTTAGGGAACAGGCCAACCTTCTATTACCTCATCCTTTCCCCACCACTGAACAGGCCAACCTTCTATTACCTCATCCTTTCCCCACCACTGCCTCAGACTTTAAACTGAGCCCAGGACAGCAAGTGTATATTAAAACCCGAATCCCAAAGCCCTTCTTACCATGTTGGGAAGGGC